TTTATATGCAATTAGTTACACGAATTTAAAAATGAAGTTCTAATAAGCTGTACTTATACAAGATTATTTGTAATCTTGAATTGTAGGTAATATACATAAATAAACAATATTTCATGTATAAAAATGATTTTTAAAAGTTTTTGTCAACTATTTTTTAATATAGTATAGATTAAAGCAAATTTAAAACAACTAACACAAAACAAATCCACATGTATAAAACATTGCCAGGGGTGCATAAAAACCTAAGAGGAGATGTTTGGGATTGCTTATTTAAAGTGTTTATTAATTTATTCTGGTGTGACACTGGTAATAAAAATTTTTTAGTGTTTGGATGAAAAAAAATACTTATACCAGTTTGGAATCGGTAATAAGAAGTTTTTGATAAGTTATTATCTTCTAATTTATTAACTTATTCCGATTTGATACTGGTAATAAAAAGTTTTTAGTGTTTGGATGAAAAAAAAATACTTATCAGCATATTACGTTTTGTTACATCCATAAGCTAATTCAAACAGTTTTTCTAAAACTCTAGTTTGACACTATATAAGTTGATAAACACTTTTATAAAAAAACATAAGTTGTTTTAAATAAACAATCTCAAACACTCGATCTTCCAATTCCAACCTAACACAAGCAACTTGATATTTAATCGAGTTGTAAAATTTCAAACCGTAAACATTTGGTTGGAATTGAAACAGGGTTATGTAAACCCAACCCAATCCAATAAATCAGATATCTTTATATTTCCATGACTTAATATAATTGTTAACTTCTTAAATAAAATAAATACATTATACATAAAACCAACCCATAATTAGTTATATTCATAAAAATATCACAATTTCAAATGCAATTTGTATATTCATTTTAATTTTATATCGTTTAAACACAGTTGTTTAACCATAGATGAAAACCTCACGGGAATCTGGCATCGTATCCGTATGAAGATGGCGATCAGATCATCAATGATTAACGATCCAGCTCCAAGTTCCCACACAAGAATCGTTTTCCGATCAGCGATTGTCTCAAGAATCCTTCTGCTAACATTAATGGTTATCTGGAGATCAATCCTTACCCCTTACGACACCTCCGCTTCCATAAACCCTAGCTGTCTCTCTTCCACCACCACCACCACTCACCACCACGAACAGTTAATCCGATTTCCTCGCATCGCCGCCGCTATTGAAAATGGCATCGTATGGGACAGCGTGTACTTCGTCCGAATTGCTCAATGTGGTTACGAATATGAACAGACATATGCTTTCTTGCCTCTTCTTCCCTTCTGCATTTCGTTCTTGTCCCGAACAGGTTAGTTTCTTCAGTTTTGCTTTAGAGTTTTAATATTTTAGTTGCAGTGAAAGCATCATAACTTGGAGCTAGGAGATTTTTACAAGAAAACTTGTATTTTAGTCGGACAATAACGAAATCGTGCGTCTGTTACTCCCTCTATTTACAAGTAGGATACTTTTTCTTCAAATTTGATCATCTTTTATTTTCTTGAGTATTAGGAAAAACATACTTCTTCCTTCTAGATTCCAGACAGAGCTAGAGTCTCAAGATTGAGATGCTTTCACTTCATCTTAACAGAAAAATGGAGAAAGTACTAGTTGGAACTTGGAACAGTTCAATTTTATCAGGAATAAATCAGGAGAGAGTCAGCAGGGTATGATCATAGTAGCAAGTAATTTTTTTTTCCATGAGGTGGCATGAGGCTCTAGCGGTGGGCTGCAGGAGGAGGAGTTAGTAGTTAATGTTGTTGTCTATTGCTCCCAGACACTATTAGTAGTAAAAATGAAAGCTGACAATGCATCAAATGACCATATGGCTGAGATAACATTTTTAATTTGCCATTATATTTATTTTCGCAATTTTCAGCATTTTGTCACCAATTCGAAATTCTTAGCTTCAGTGTGGTTAAATATGGAGATATAGGTACTATTTACACTCCCTGTGTTCTAAGAAAGAGCTATGATTTGGATTTGGGATCAAATTCTTTCTTCTGAACTTTATAATGTAGGAGTAATCTCAATTTTTGCAAAAAAATCTGTGACTGAACCAGGCATTTTTAAGCCCTCTCTTCCAATGGAAGATCATGACTCGTTTCTGGTTATAAAAGCTGATTATTTATATGCAAATTTGGTATGAATTTCTGATGAAAATTCAATACCAATGTTATTTTATTTGTAGCACTTGTAAGGTTTGATGGAAATAGCAGCTTTTCTAAAGGAAGTTCGGAAACCCTATTTCTGAAGTTGAAACCTAACTTGTTTGACATCCGAAGTCAAAGTGGATATCTTTTTCCCTTATTTGAATATATATTTTTTACACTGGCACACAGAGAGTAGTAATATTAGGTGATTCTCTACTGGATATGATTTTACTTACTGGAATAAAATGATCATGGTACTTACGAGGTTTTGTCCTTCTTGCCATTGAATTATTTTGTAATTAAATTTATGGATTTTCTTGTAGATTCTATATATTATGAAAGCTTTGTCATTTCTAAATTGCAGTTCTTCAGCCATTGATTCCACTTGTTGGACACAGGGCTGTGTTGGCGTTGTGTGGATATTTACTTAGCAACATGTCATTTGTTTTTGCTGCACTGTTTCTTTACAGGTGACTGTCTTAACTCTACATCAAACAACCCTATGTGTTGCATTTCTTTCTCTCAGTTGTGGTTGATGTAGAAATTTTATATGACATTCCAACAATGTAAAAGTCTATGCAACCTGTTTAAAAGGAATCCAAGTTGTTATTTGTCCAGTAATCATTACACATTGTGTTCTTTCCCTGACAGTTTCTTTGTTTCCTCTCGCTAAAGGCTTTCTGTTATTATTCTGAAGGATTCGGAGTCATCACTGAGAGCATCAATCTTGTTTTGCTTCAATCCAGCATCTATATTCTATTCGTCCATGTACTATTCTTTGTCTTCCTGTTGATATTTAATGATCAAATTTATGATTGTCATCTGAAACCAGCACTTTGCTTTTGTAGATACTCTGAGAGTTTGTATGCACTATTATCAATTGGAGGACTATACTTTTTGATGTCAGGTGCAAATAATTTCGCAGTACTCTGGCTTGCTTTCTCTGGATGTGCAAGGTCAAATGGGGTGCTTAATGCAGGGTATATCGGTTTCCAGACCATGCATCGAGCTTATGATGCTGTATTTCTTCAAAAGAGAGCATTTGTAAGTTTATAGTAATTAGTTGCATCATTGCATGTTCTACTTATTGTTAGTATGCGATTTTTCCTTCCCCCTTGATAATTGTGTTCTTTAAAGCTTAGAAAATGGGGTAATAATCTGGAAAAAGCTACTTGAATTGGTGTGTATAGGTTTGTTTGTCTGCATAATGCATTCACTGAGGCTGAAAATGCACCACTTATCATTGATAACAAAGAAGTAACACGGTCTCTGCTGTCATCCAGATGACGTGACACTGTAATTGTTGGAAACCATATACAGATAGACTGAGGCATTTTTAAGTTCTTTGATTGAGCATTTGCTACCTTTGTAACTTATTCATATCACGTGACCTTTTCATGATGGTTGCTTTTTTGTAATCTGACGTTTGCTCCCCGTTTTTCCGTTTAACAAGGCATTATAGTAATATTTTAACTATTATGTTGTCCATGCAGCTGGCGTTTCAGGTTCTTATCTCTGGAATCTTGCGTTGTGTATTTATTTTCATTCCATTTGTTGCTTTTCAAGCATATGGATACTACAACCTTTGTGATGGACTCTCACCGGAAAAACTAAGACCTTGGTGTAAAGCAAAGATTCCCTTGCTATACAATTTTATTCAAAGTCATTACTGGTATGGCTTTACTTCTAGATCTTTTTTCTCTTTCTACAAGTGTTTGATGGAGCACACAGCTTTATGTGATTATATTCTTTCCGTGAACTGTGATGCATTCGCTCAAGATTAGTGTTCTGCATATTTTCTAATTAGTGAAGACCTATGATGTTTTGTGTCCCAAAAAAGAGGGCTCTTATGTGTATTATGGATAATTGGACCACCATATTTGTAATCTTTGATGGTGTGTAAGAAAGTAGGTTCTATATGTACTTCCTGTGACTTCTTTATAAAGACAAGCATGGATGATCTCATCAGTGTTGAAATTAATCTTGATGGTTTACTTTGCTATTAGGGGGGTCGGTTTTCTACGATATTTCCAGCTAAAACAGTTGCCAAACTTCCTTCTTGCGTCGCCAATCCTCTCCATTGCACTCTGCTCAATTATTCATTATGTGAAACTACAGCCTAAGGAATTCTTTTCACTTGGTTTCCGAGTTGCTCCAAAAAGTTATGGGGATGCTAGAATTCTTATCTCCCCCGGAATAAATACAAAGAACACTTCTCCTTCGGAGAGAGATACATCAACAGTAAGTCAAGGTATGAACCCAAAACATGAAATAGGATTTTATTTTGCGAGCAACTTCCCCAACGTATTAAAGTTGGTCCTGTTAGTTATATAACTTGTAGCTCTTGATATAATATTACCATTCACTATCATCATCAATAATAATACTATTATTACTACCATCGTTATCAGGGATGATCATTGTGGATTTCCTCACATACAAACCCCTCTAGGTCCACCAACTGGGCTGTGACTGTTCTATAAAAATGCCTGGGATTTAAAATAACAAATAATACGGGTTATTTGAAGCAAGAAAACTAAGAGAAACAGAGTTGTCTGTTGCTGAAGATGTTAGTTTACTGCAGATGTTAGTGCTACCAATGTTTAGATCTTGGTTATGTTTTCCAATTGCCCCTGAAGCACTGTATCTTTATTGACAAATGGATCAAGAATTTGAATTTCTGTATCGCTGTACCAACAATGAATGCTTGGGCCTTATGGCCTATGGCATGCTATTGTGATGGACTCCTACTTTACAAAGTAACAGTTCTGTTTGGATTATCTTTGTTAAACAGAAGATCAGGCTCGTAGGAGGAGAAAGAGTAGCAGCAAAGAAGCGGGTCCTACTGTGCTTGCTACAGAAAATCTATCAACGGACAAGCTAGGAAAATTTTCTATCATCATCATACCATTCGTTTTACACTTGGGATTCATGGTGGCGACTGCATTTCTTGTCATGCATGTTCAGGTCAGTTGCACCCCTGTTCTCAATCCAAAAGTTTTGCCAAATCTACTTACTGTTTATAGTCTAGGTATAATCGATTTTGAATCAACCCTGTCTTTCCATCTGGCTTGATTTTCAATTGCTCACAATTGTTTGATGCTCATCATTGAACTTGAAAAATCGCTGCAGCTAGGTTGAATCAGAAGAAAACCCCCTAGAGCTTTATATCCCTCACTAAAAGCCCTGGAAAAAAGCCTTTATATTTATCTTATGAGTTGACAACCTTTTGTCACTGAACCGTCAAAGAAACGTATGTGTCCACACACTCTCTCTTACACACACAGGTGTTTCAGATTTGTAACAAGAAGATTATAGATGATGAAAAGGGTGTTGGTGCCAAATGCTTTATAAAACCTAGTCCCTCTGTGTGTGTGTATGCATTGCCGATGCACATGACAATTTGAACAGCATAATTTTATGTGCAATATCATTTTTTATTAGAATTTGTGACACACATATGATTTATTACAGGTTGCTACAAGGTTCTTGTCCGCAAGCCCCCCTATCTACTGGTTTGCCTCCTATGTATTGGTGTCTCCCAGTACCAGCAAGGGCTGGGGATACTTGATCTGGGGGTACTGTGCAGCCTACATCCTCATCGGCAGTCTGCTCTTTTCAAACTTCTACCCTTTCACTTGAATCTTTCCAAAATGAACCGTCCACGGCCAAACAATGCCAGATCATCATCATCAGCATGGATCCCGTAGACATGGTACCCAAAAAAAGCTAATTTAGATTCAGAAAACATCTAAACATTTGATTAAATTCGATCTTTTGATGTTCTGTTCCTTGTCACCTCTGTATGGTTTTGTAGTTAACATAGATATTCATGCAATGTTAGAATTTTGGCACCAAAGCAGTAATGCGTTGAACAGATGCATTCTCTAACTTGGGTCGAATTCGAAGTTTGATCTTGGTGCAGAATTCTCATGGAAAGTTGTGGTGCTAAAAGGATGATGTATATGTACAGGCTATTTAGTTTGTTACACATACAAGAAGGTGCAATCATACAGAAGGACCAGATCTAAGAACTTTCTCCAACTTTTCAGCCCTGGCATAATCACTTTCTGTAAGTGGGCCGGCGGGAAAAGGTGTAATCTCGACAACCAAATGCGGTGTTGGGAGTTCATCAAACAAAGCTCTAACGTTGTTGCAGCATACAGTTTCTCCATGAGCACTCTCCCTTCTTATTTGACAACCCTACCAAATAAGGAAAGCATTCAACTTTTTCAGATGATTGTTTGATCAAACTTGCAGAAAATGGAAATATGGTGAAGAAAACTCGAATCACCTTGTGGGAGGTGGCATCTCTGAAGTGATCATCATCTGAAAGTAAAGAAGCTATGGCTTTGAGAAGGCGACGCCCTTCAGATGTTGAAGGGATCCTGTAGTTTCGCCTAAGCGTACCCTTAGTTGTCGGGTGCCATTTGCTAACTAATTTTCTTTTATCTGCTGCTTCTTTCTCTGCTCATGAGAAAAATAAGGTCTAGCTTTCAAAAGAGTTAAATCTACATGTTGCATTGAAATCCCAATGGCATACGTTACGGGTTTAATAAAGGTTGCGGATGGGTTTGTTTTTAGCCGAATTCAACCGGAAAGTTCCCCAAAGAGTAATTTAACTGCTTACATACCTGGTTTGCCTTTGAATTCTGCAAACCACTTGGAGAAACCCAAATCGTCACCGTCACTTTCAAGTTCTACAAAATCACCAACAAACTAAATGATCAAAATAACAATATCTGAGTGGTGTACAAAAATCACATTAAAGAAACAAGATCGAGAAACTATGGTGAATTAGAAGGCGATCCAGCCAAACTAGCATTCAAGAAGTCACAAATACACATACCCTTCCAGCCCACATAACAGGTGGCCTCAATCAATGGGAAATCTTTGATCTTTCTACCAGAAATAGACAGCCCAGATGGAGAAAAATGAGTATTGAGAAACATTTTCTTGAAAATATTAAGAGGAAATCTTGATTCAATTACCAATGATAAGGGACTTGGTGATCCATAGTTTTAAAAAATCACCAACAAATCAGTATCACATAAAGAATCTTGCAAACACTGTAGCTATGCATCTTTTCAGATAAAACAAGAACCTGAACCTGAAAACCCTTGATTTTTCCATCAGATATGGGCAGGCCCAAAGGACAAAAAAAGGGGGGGTTTTAATGAAGAAGTTGTGTGGGTATTGGGAGTGTAGAACCATTTTCTGGAAATTTTAGAGGAATCTTGAATCAATTAAATAATGCATTCAAGTTTCAAATTCTACAAGATCACCAATAAATCAAGAACAGATTAAGTATTCTTGCAAACCCTTTGTGTTTATGTTCAAAGTGTGTGTATCAATGCATCATCTATTATTTATATTAAAAGAAAAAGGATCAAGAACCTGTGGTGGATGCCAGTGGATTAGAAGGGGATCCAGCCAAACCAGCCTTCAAGAGGGCATAAAATATACATACCCTCCCAGCCCACAAAACAGGAGCCTCAATCAATGAACTTTTGATTCTTGATCTTCCTATCCCACTTGTTTTATCAGATACAAACCCCCAATCTGATGAAAAACCCTTGATTTTTCTACCAAAAATGGGCAGCCCACGAGGAAGAAAAAGGGTTTTGGGCAAAAGTGTAGCAGTGGTGGTGGGATGGTGATTCTTGGGAGTGAATGTGTGAGTACAAGTAGGGGTGTTTAGAATCATTTTCTTGAAAAATTTTAGGGGAATCTTGATTGAACCAAGAACAACAAGGGATTCATTATATGCAGTAGCTGATGATTTTAGAGCAAAATATGAGTGTATAAGTTGACACTGGACTGCCTTCTACTTTTAAATTTACCACATTTTCCCTCGTTGTTTTATTTTGTTACACATTAGACCCTTTTTCCATACAAAAGTTTTATTGTCTATTTTCAAGAGCATAGTTTATATTCCGTACATCTTTTCTGTTATTTTTTTTAACACGAGTAACCACAATAATCACTCGATGTATATAAATTAATTTACTGGACTATCAAGTCAAACCTCCAAAGCACCAAAAACCCATGTTTACCTCAGCTTGAAGAGATACAACTCACAAGAATAATAAACTTATAATAAGGTCTTACTAACGTGCACGGTGCATCTAATAAAAACTGGACAATTTATGTGTCTGACAAGAATATAAGTGGTATTATGAAAGAAGAAAGTGCATATCAGTTTTTATATAGAGATTTTTTATAATTTTATAAACTCTTTGAATACAAAGTATTGGACCAAAATAGACGCGACTTGTTTATGAGTGGTATCGGTAAGAGACTAGCATTTTTACTTTTTGTGAAACAAAGAGATGAATGTCGTGATAAAATGTAAGGTCCTTTAAGTTTTGTTTTTCAAATTAAGGGGGTGAACTTGTTTAAAAGTTAAGATTAAGGGGGCTATTATGTTAAATAGTAATATTATTGGAATGATGTGTTTCTGATCTTTTACGTCGTCGTTCCCCTATCTTATCCACTTAGCTGCGTAGGCCCTCATGATAGACCTTGAAAGATCAATAATATGTATTTTATTTCTTCAATTGTTATATCGTACATTTTTTTTTAAATAAAGTTTATATTTTTAACAAAATTACATTTAATTTTAACAATCATTTTATTTTTAATAATTCTAAAACCATCTTTACTCATAATTATTTAGAGGTCAATTTTAATTAAAATATTATTTTCTTTCTCATTCACCTATATAATCTTCAACTTCAATCTAAGGGGTTGTTTGTTTACCTCTTAATAGTTTCATTAAGAGACAACATCTGAATCGTTGAAGAGGTGAATCTTGTTTGGCAAAAAAAAATCTGTCTCTTAATGGTTATAAAACCCTCTTAATGATTTTGTATCATGTATCTCCCTTAACCATTAAGAGCCATAATTTCATTGTACACAATTATCAAACAATTATATTTCATTTTGCACTATATCATGAGAGCCTCTTAATCATTCTGACCACTTAATCATTATGTACCAAACTATTCAGCAATTGTCAAACAACCCCTTATTTACTTATTTTATCATTTAACCACAATTTTCTTCGATACAATCTAATCTAAAATATTATTTTATAAAAATCATATATTTAAATATATATATATATATATATATATTTTATTTTTAATTTTAAGTGTAAGAATAAAATAAACGGACCATTACACATTTTAAAACGTAATTATAATTATAAAAAAAAACTTACCATACAATTGAAATTAAATAAAACAAGTGACAAATTTTTTTTTGAATTTGGATTCATGACGGAAAATTGAAAGAAACTGAAAGTTTTTTTAAAAATTTCAAGATAACGAGAGGATTGAAATGAAGATAAAGATTGGCGTGATAAAAATATGTCAATATTAGGCTCTATTTGTAGGAAATTGAAAACAATGAATTTTGTTTTTTTGTTAAAGTCATTTTTTATCATATAAGTTTTATAAATAAAAATATAACTTGACCAATAGTTGTGACACTAGGCATATAAAATATGATGGAAATTTACAATCTAGGTTTGTGTGGTGATCGGGTTCGAATGAAATTGCTAATTTATTTTTCCTTTATTTTGTCTTACTCACGATTAGATTGGTTGAGATTGTGAATAAAAATGGTCTAATACTAAGTGACGTTTGTTTTTTAAGAGGTGCTGAAATCTAAAGTATGATTTCACTTCTGATTTATAAGAGATGATATTGAAATCTGAAACATGAATTAGTCAGACTGTTTGTTTTTACGTCTGAATTCTTAAATCTGAATCAATCAAATTGTTTAACTTTTAATTTTATTAAAGGAATTTTATATATATATATATATATATACACACACACACACACACACATGCGCATACACAATATCACAAACAATACATAAACCACTAGTTGATCATGAATCCACAGCTCAGCAACACAAACTACAATCTTTGGAACAACCCAAATCATGTAACCAGAATCCCAAATAAACCACTAGCTGATCATGAAACCAGAAGACGAAAAAACACAAAAGTAACATCAAAACAAAAATTCGACTCAAATTTTGCACATCTTTCGCTCTATAATTACAAGGGAAGTAAACAGGATGATCATTAGTATATTGAACCAAAAAACTGCAAAGGAAGTAAACAGGACCACATGCAAATCCTTCAATGGCGATACTCTCCAAAAAGAACTCTTTTTGATGCTTGTTAGCGATAGTAATTGCTCCTGGAGTTCCAAAATTTGAATCCACCACTATGACCACATCTATATCTCATTCAAACTTAAACAATATTTTGGGTGAAGACAGGACAAATTATTGAACAAATATAAGATGGTTGTCACTAATAGACAAAACAAAGATAGGTGAAGACCATCAAAACCAGTAAAGAAGAACACAAATTCATGTATATATATGAAGCAGGAGGTAGAAATCGACATACCTTTTGAAGATTTTAGGTTAGCAGATCGAGATCGAGAGCGGTGAGAGACCGATTGCTGTCAGATTGAGCAATTTGGGGATAGATTGCATGAGAGAGCTGGAGACCGAGAGCGACTGTGAGAGATCGAGATCGAGAGATGAGCGATTGTGAGATGGGCGACTGTGAGAGATAGAGATCGAGAGGTGAGCGACTGTTAGAGAGTTGGAGGCGCGAGATGCAACGACGACTGTGAGATAACGAGAGAGTTTAAGAGGTGTTAAGATAAAAAGTTACCACTTAGTTTTTCAAAGGAAACACAAAGGAATAAGCTCTTATTTGAACAAAGAAACAAACGCTCTTAATACCACAAACGTCTGATCGAATCAGACTTTAGAGGTATTAGGCTCTTAATACCAAAAAACAAACAAGCCCTAAGAGATTCATCTAAATGTAGAGATTTTTACAATCTCTCTATTTTTTTTTATCTGTTTTAGCATACAAGATCACATAGATGTTGGAGCAACAAAATTGTTAAAATCCTTCTTTTCTTTATTTTAATATGGTTGTTGGAGATGCTCTTACTTTTTACCTACTAATATCCTTTTCAGAGATCAACATTAATACTTATTTTAGTTTTTAATGAATGATTTAACATGAATCTGATAAATAAAAAGTAATGTATATAATATTATCTTAAAATATTAGTTTTTGACCATATATTTTTTAAATTAATATATTATGATTTATAACCTACAGGTCAAAACCATTATAGTTTTATAAGATCCATGAAGCTGGCTGTAAATACATTTTTACACACTGTAAAATTTTGGTTTTATCCCCACATATTTTTCTTGTGATGATTCATAAAAATAGTATGTCCTTACAGATACTAAATTATAACATGTATTATACAAATTGTAGTATCTAGATGAGTAGATGACAAGCTGGTTTAAATCAATCCGATTTGATTTTGAATTAATATTATAATATATGAAAGGAGGGTCACTAACGGAAATTAATTAACGGTGTTAGAAGGAGGGACCATATCCGTTATAAAAATGAAACTATGGGGACGTTCATTGTTAATAATTCTTTTCAGACACCTTGCTCGTTAAATTATGTAACATGGACCAAATTTACACTTAATTCTTTTATTAATGATTGATTCGCTTTATAACCATACGTATTTTAAAACTCCAATAATCTGTCACTCGTGGCTTTGGTACCAAAATAACATATGATATTTTAGATAAATGATATAAATATCCTTGGTGAAGATGCGTTATATTTATATATATTTTTCATTTAACAAGTAATTAATTACATAGTTATACTGTTATATGGATTTGGGGTTTTTCCCACACAACCCAATATATCTCTTTGTAAATATTAGATCATAATGTAAACTCTGTATTGGTTTATGTTGAGTTAATTGGCTTATTTTTCATAGTGGGCTGTCAGGTTTATGTGCACCTCTGATGTCAAAAGAGCATATTTGCATGGTAGTAGTCTGAATCTGTATTGCTTACGATTTTGCACACTAACTGTCATAGTAACGCAAAATCACCAACATAGTTTAAGATTTCTTAAAGTCATTTTTATATATTGTTATGGTCAGGAACCAGTAGTCCTATGCATTAAATTTCGAAGGGCTATTTGTTCCATTAGCATTGCCTTCTGAAGCCATTGTTGAAAGAAATACATGAATTTGGTTACTAATAAGAGTAACGTTCCCGCCCATATTATAAAATTTTCAATCACCAACAAACCATTTAGTTGATATTTCTTAAATTGCATAACAATACATACGCCCCAAGTCCACATATGATAACTGAGTGTTGCATCGTATATTAGCAAGGTGGATATATGGGCAAGTGATGATAGTTTAGCTCCTTTCGACAAGGGTGCATATGGGTTTGGTTGGTCATACTGTGAGCGTTAAATAGTCAGTAACTCATGAGCCGAATGCATGTAGTCGTATTTTCACAAATAATCTCTGTTATACAAGTAGAAGATTTCATCTAACACATGTTTACAGATAAATAGAATGTTGCAATTACAAAAGTCATTACGAATACAAGACATATTAAAACATAACATTATTTTCAAAATATATAGGATACTGATATGTGAATTAAGAGACTCAAAATTTGTACCAATACAAATGCCATCGCAAAGAAGAGCATTACTTCAATTATGAGTTTACGATTTGTTAGTTTTACTCGGCCTTATTGAGGTTGGTTGGTTTTATCCCAACTTTTTTTTCGGCCCAACCATGTTACCTGCAAAACTCAGAACACCAATCGAGTTTCAGTTTCATTTGGGTTGAACTTATGGACCTGTTTTTTCAGATTAGTTCGAGTTGGGTGATTGACCCATCAAAAATTTTTACAACAATTTGGAGAATCACCGCTAATTTTACAAAAAAAAGAAGAAGCATTATTTAACTAAAAAAACCGAAAGCAAGAAATTGTATTCTATATGTAATCTCACTAACATAAAACATATGAGCCTTTATGCCTTCTGTTAGATATTTTCAAAATGACTATTACATGTGAAGAATCAAAATTACATGGTCCGGTTATCTTTTAACGAAAATCACGAGTAATTATGTAATTTAACATTTATTTTAGTAACAATTTTTTATTGACTATTTTAGATGCTCGTTAAAATTTGATTATTGTAATTGTGAATATAAAAGGGAAAATACTAAAATATATTGGAATAATTATTAGATGACGTAGGAGTCATAACTAGAAATCAAATGGTACAAAAAAAATTGTAACGAGTATATAGACTTTATGATTTTAGAAGGAGCGTGATGTCGATGATAGTGAGGCAATTCACACGTCGATTGAGCAGAGAGTGGGGAACTGCCAATGGCGTTTTGTGCAACAAAAAGGTCCCAATAAATCATAAAGGTAAATTCTAATAGATAGACATTAGACTAGTTATTTTGAACGGGTCAAAGACTGTTGGGCAGTGAAGAAGATGATAGACTAGAATTAGTAGAAACGATGATGATCAGGTGGATGAGTAGCCCAATCATGTTATCTATGATGCTGAACGAGAGCTTTTTGGAACAATTAAAATCGAGAGATGAAAAATCAAGGTGGGTTGGACATGTACGTAAAATAAAGATTACAACATCAATGTGGAGGGTAGAGAGTATCGCGGCTAAGAGGGTGAGAAGGAGGGCATGTCGATGAGAATGCATAATGAACAACTGAGGATGACCATGACAGTTTTAAACATTTATGAGACATGATTTCATATAGAAGTTATTGGAGACATATATTTAAGGTAAAAATGTGTAGTAGGGGAAGCCATGAATTGTAGAAGCGAAGTGTTAAGAAAAAGGTCGAGGGTGAGGGCGAGACATAAAAAATGGTTAAGGGGTGGTAGATAGGTTACCATAGGGTTACGTTGTTGTCTTATTTTCTTTCTATCTTATTTTATTAGTATATTATCTATATTATATTATAAAATATTTGACAAAAACTCTTGAAAATCATCTTTTATACATGAAGTACTGCTGATTGATGCATATTACTTAAATTTTAAGATTACAAGTAAATTGTACATAAGTATAACTTATTAAACTTCATATTTGAATTCGTGTAACTAACTGCAGATAAATATAATCAAATACAAGATAAAATTCTAATTATATATATATATATATATATATAATTAGGATAATTATTGAGTTATAACATAATACTTAGTTATTATCTTCATAAAAATTATATTACTAAACCAAAAATAAACTAATTTGTCATTAAACCTAAATTAAATTATAATAAAAAACTGAATTAAAGAAATTACACAAAAAATGAGAATTTTTATAATTTTTTTAGTTTTTACGATATCTTCAAATTTACTTTTTATTAAGAAAAACATTATTGCTTACTCAAAACCACATAAATTCGTATTATAATATCGACAAAGACTAAAAAAATAAAATAAAACATTAAAATTAAGATATATATCGTTACATTATGCGAGTACCTTTATAATATTTTATAATATATGCATACTTCAACCAATGCTAAGATAGGGGATGTTTGGCAAATACCGGATGATTGAGTACATAATGATTGAGTGCAAAATAAAACATTAAAATTAAGATATATATCGTTACAAAAGTTTTGATGGAAATTTCTAAATGAAAAATATAAAATAATTAATGGTCCAAGCCAATGCATGATATCATATCAACCCAAGCAAACATAACAATTGTTTGTTCAAGTTTTGCAATAACAAAATATCAAATGAAATGCAAGTTCAAACCCAATATGTTGAGTACAACATCTAATTTGAATCATTTAACACCAATTAATTTGCAATCTCATTAAGCAAATTAGCCATATACTCATTGTCTTGGGGACCCGAATGTGTTGCATCTATCTCTTCTTCCCCGCCTCTGTCAATTTCGCTACTACGGTTGCCCTGCTACTACAAAACAAGCGGAAGTCGAGCTATTCAGCAACCATTACCACTGTGAAAACCCATCTTTTTTGACCTCCCAAGTCCTACCATGAGGTTTGAATTCATGTTAACTTCACATTTTCTGTCATATCTTCAATGCCTTTATACATTTATCTAATTACACTTATTGATCTATCTTTTCTATAGTCTTTAGTGATCAAAATGCATAATCGTACTGCGCTTATAAAATATGTATCTAAAAACAACATGTCTTTTCTATAATATTTAGTGATTAAAATGCATAATTATATCGTGCTTATAAAATATGTATCTAAAAATAACATATCTTTTCTATAGTCTTTAGTGATCAAATTGCATAATCGTATCGCGCTTACAAAATACGTATCTAAAAACTATATACATAAAAAAAACAGAATATGTACATTAAAGCAACATATATACAATAATTTTTTTTAGGAAGTAGACTATTGTTGTGGAACAGACTATAACTTTTTTTTTCTTTTTTGATTAACATGAATATCCAACCCGCTATGTGAGCCGACTAATCCCATAGCGACTACCTGCTTTGCATATAGTCCGGAATTACCGCATTTGAACCTCTGTGGCCACAAGGGGATTTTTATTTCTCATTGGATTTGAACCTAAGACCTCCTGGTATATTTGACATTTGGAGCCAAACTTAAACCAATCAAGCACTACCCTTGTGGTTAACAGACTATAACTTGTTGGTTCCTGATTCTGAACTTAAAAATATGGGTGCTGAACTTCACTACACACAGAGGGGAGGGGATATTACATTTCATGCTTCTCATCAAGCCATTCTATACCCTATTCTCTCTTTAAGTATGTTGGGCTTGGTGCTAGGAAATATGTTGAAAATCTTGAATCAACTATGATTGAATTGACATCTCTATATGGTGTCAAAGCTCATGGTCAAAGGAAATGTGAGATTGGGGTCTGGGTTAGGGAAAGAAAGATTGGTGCAATTGGAGCTCGTATTTTATATGGGATTACCTTTCGTGGGTTGGCATTTAACATTGACCCTGATTTGAGCTATTACAAACATATTGTGCCTCGTGGAATTGCTGATAAGGAAGTTACTTCATTGAGGAGAGAGACGGATATGGTGCTCCTTGGCGATGATTTGAAAGTTGTGGGTGCTTACACCAACAAAAAAGTTGTTCAATTCAATCAAGATTTTTCAGCAAAGGAGGATGTGAGGTGGTATCATGTGTAGGGGGTCACATGATCAACCATATTCTTTCCAGTTTTGCATTAGAATTGAGAGAAAGATCACCATCAGTAAAATCAACAAGAAAGCCAGACCTCGGTTCCACTTAACTAGTCTAGAGGTAACATTACACATGCTTTGACTTGACCACATGCTGCATCTAGTGTCATCTTTTGCCATCTTTCTTAAGAAGAAAATTTCCATTAAAGAGCAACTTATATTCAGTCATCTCATTTTCTTCGACTCCATAATAAACAGATAAACCATGGCTTACAAAGTATTCATTTTTCTACATATATACATAAAAAACATAATATGTACATAAATAAGAATGAATATATATATATATATATATATACACATACACACACATACAAATTGTACAAAAAAATGCATAAAGGAACTTGAATCAAACAGTAGGAATCGAACCTTGAATCAAAACAGTAGAAATCGATCTTGAATCAACACGTGCTGCAATCGGTTTCTTCAACAGGTGCTGAAATCGATTCTTCAACAATCGGTTTCTTATGCGATTGTTGGTTCGATCAACTAGAGGGAAACGGTAAGGGGTGAATCGGGAAGAGAGACATGCCGAATCAAATTGGTACCTAAAGAATGAGAAGGCGAGGGATAATATTGGCAAAATTGGGATCTGAATCGTATGGGGTTGGGGTAGATGAAGGAGCGATTAAGAGATAAATTACTATTCGGAGCTTTTTAAAAAGTCTTGCCAAACAAGATTAGGTCTGACCGGTTCCAACCTTAACCTCTTAACGGGATCAACAAGTGGTAAACAAACAACCCCATAGCATTCCATAACATATTTGTTGCAGCCTAGTCTTGGTTTCAGATTTCTTTACATTACATGGACGATATCATGAAAGATTTGGTATTTGTTTTGATTAGAGAGTAATTGTATAAATGATAAAAAGTAGTTTGTTTAGGAAAGCAAAAAATCTCTACGGAACGAAGAACAGCCGTTTTCCCCCTTTTCTCACCCCTCATTTTGACCTAAACGATACATCTGCAAACCCACTTGATTACCTTTTTTCTCCTTTTCAAAATCACCGATCATCTCTTCTCTGGAAAATAACGTTGACTACGAACAAGAAATACGAGTTTTGATCTGGGTTTGGTTTACTTGCTGAGAAATAACTGATTATGCTTAGGGTTTGAGCATAGATAATGGTAGATTCACAAGCGAGTAGCTTCTTGCTATCATGTGTGACTTGTACGGGTAGAGAATGCCGGAGCTTCGCAGTGGAGTATGCCGTCCCCGTGCTTCTCCTGTAGTGGACAAGAAGAGCGGTGGCAGAACGCCGAAGGCTGCGGCGGGGAAGAAGCGGTCCGAGTGTTTGCCTAGTAATTACGTCAAAACTCGAGCGGCGGCGGCCCGGGAGGCTGTGGCAGACGGGGTTGAGGTGAAACAAGAAAAGAAGCCGAAGCGGAAGAAGAAAAAGGACTTTGCACCAACGCCTGTAGTTGTTGTTACCAAACCAGAGGAGGATAAAGACGAAGGAGCAGTCAAAGAAATACAGATGGCGGATGCTAGCGGCGGGTTGAGCGCTAATAAGGTCACCGGCCAGGAGGAAGAAGGGAATACTGCTCCTTTTCCTGATAGGGTACACGCCATCTCTCTTGTCCAATGTTGTTTTAAGATTTTCAAGTCTGTTGATTTTTGCATGCTCTTGCTAAGGAATGAACTTAATCACCCTCATAAAACAAGCAATCATTTTTCTTAAAATGCAAAATTTGAAGTTCTGATATATGCCCACACTTGTAATGTAATGTAAAGCTAGATACATGGCGTTGTTAAGGAAATCAAGTAAATTACTAGTTGGTTTTAGGAAAATTGCTATTCATGGTCCTAGCTATATATGGGTACCCCTCAACCAGCACTCTGTTTGGTTTTGCATCTTAATGTTTGTAATTCTTATTCTTCTAAATGGTTTATACTTTTTCGCTACAATAGAGCCTCTTGTTTTGTTCTCTTAACACTGAGGCTCTAAGTACCTGCAATATCTTAGATGAGCCAAGTCTTAGAATTGAACTCATGTCTAACGTGAAAGAGGAAGTTCATATTCTTCATCAATGTTGCCAAACCCATTGATGATAACCATGAAAAATACAAGCATTCTGAATTCCGGTGCAGATCATCCAGTCAACGTGTTTGTCAGGGCTATGTTATGAAACCATATGTATTCTTAATGCCATTGCTTATTTTTTCGTCAAACAGTTATGTCTTTCTGAGAACTGTGTAGAAGAATTGCCATCTTCTCCTGCTTCATATCATGAAACAAATTACTATGCCTATTAATGCCCATGAGGATTCATTCCTTTTGCACTTTGGGGGTTGAAAAGAAGACAATAATATGGGGTTGGGACTTAAATATTAAGTTCAGGTTAAAAATTCTGTTTACTCTTTTTCCTCTGCACTTGCTTATAGTTTTGACCTTTGAGAGGCTGCATGCGGAAGATGCCACATATGTAACTGATATTCAATGAGCATTGTGAAATTATGATCAACTATATCCTATTTCCATCAAACATAACTGAAGTTTTTATGATGTTTGGCCCATGCTCTACATCTTCAACTACCAATTCATATGGAAAGTCTGTGGACCCTACATTTGGAGTCATTGATAGATTGATAGACTGGTTGTGCTGTTATATGATACCGAGTACAGGAGTAGTCAACCGTGCAAATTGGAAAGAGGAAACTTTTTCTGGCATCTATTTTCTTATAGGTTGCCATCGAGGTTAATGCTGATCATTCAACACTAGAACTTCAGTTGTAGAAGGACTTCTTGGAGTCTTGACTGCCAAATACATTGTATTACCTTTTTTATATGAAGTTTTGTAGCATAGCTGTCTGCATATTCGAATTGATCATTCGAGTACATCACTTGCTAACTTCTTTGATCTTTCATTTGTTGGTTTTCAGGTTCAAGTAGGTGGATCACCACAATATAAGGTTGAGAGGAAGTTAGGCAAAGGTGGGTTTGGTCAGGTATTTGTAGGCCGTCGTGTTACTGGTGGAACCGAACGACTATCAGGTCCTGGGGCCATGGAGGTAACATTTTTGTACAAAGCAATCAAACTAGCATTCTACATGTCTTCCCTAGAATCGGATTTTTGCGAAGTTATTTTCTCAAATTGTCTTTGTTACAGGTAGCTCTTAAATTTGAGCACAGAAATAGCAAAGGTTGCAGTTATGGTCCTCCATATGAGTGGCAAGTTTACAAGTATGTGTATTTTGTGATATATTATGATTAAGTTAACAGTTTTCTCTTGAAGTTAGAAATGACATTGATGTTCCATTTGATCAAACAGCACTCTAGGTGGCAGCCATGGTGTGCCTAAAGTACACTATAAAGGAAAACAAGGAGAGTACTATGTTATGGTACGATAGCTGGTTTCCTTTGCATCTGTGGTGAAAAGCTATACAACATTATAACAATCTGTCATCTTTATGTCTTTTTCACTCTTCCAGGTCATGGACATGCTTGGGCCTAGTTTATGGGACGTATGGAATTCTTCAGGGCAATCGTGAGTTCTTAAGTTTGTGGACATGAATATATATATATATATATATATATATATATTGGTATTGTATAATGTGGTTTTAGTTTGGTGTGTTCATTTACCACTTTGAATGAGAATACCATTAATGGATCTCCCTGAAAGTCTCCTTTTGCACAATTCCCACATAAAAAATGCCCTGTACTCGCATTGACTTTGAGTTCATTTATACTCTCCATATGAGCTTTCAAAGATATTTCTTTCCTCTACCGAGAAAGGTTCATTCCATGTCGCAAGAAAAATCTCTTTCTTTTTGAATGATTTTCTCTTTTCATCATCGCAAGAACCTGCACTAGAGTAGGAAAAGCCAGACATTTCTTCTTATCAGAATTTGATTTGGTATTCAGCATTATAATGCAATGATGAATGTATTATGTGGAGTAGATCTCGTCCATTATGCACAAGCCTAGCTAATTAGGTTCTGGATCCAGGTAAGGATGTCAAAGAGTGTGAACTTGTTCCTTGTGATCAGTCTGTAGTTCAAAGACAACTCTGACTACAATCATCAATATTCGAAGATAAGTGTCACTAGAGTTATGACCTGATGATACATTGAAAAGACAAACCTGCAATTTCTGTACTAGTTAAGAGTGCTGGATAACTCGTGTGTATACGTACCATGATGTACCTGGCCAGAAGTGTAGTAACTTCTTCCTTAAAAAGAAATGGGAGGTCACATGTTCCCTGTCATCCTCTTTTCATAAAAGAAAAGAGAGCACTCGCTATGATCCAAAATGTCTGCACAGAGCAACATATTAATGCTTCCAAAATAAAAGGACATCCATAAATAATCATCAAAAGTATTCAGAAACATGATTGAAAAGTAAATGCCAAACATACCTTCCTAAACAACTACTATACCCAAGTATACATCCACCATCTAGTGCTAATTAACAATTGCTTGTCTGAAAAAAGAGAGTGCCAAATGTCAAATAAATCCCACCTCCCTTCCCATACCCTACTTTCGAGTGGGATATACTAGATTTGTTTGGTTTGGCTTGAGTTTAGGACTGAACTATAGGCTGCCATGAATCATTTAGGATAATGAAGTGAACGCCAAATAACAGAACACATATTGAATAACTGTGGAGTGGAAAAGAATGGATAACGGAATCTGATCATGTGAATTTGTGAAATTAGACGGTAATGCTGAAAGGGTTGAATAAAGAGGCTAAGCTGCCTGTGTCATGATAAACTTTGAGAGCCAAGTTGTTACTGCCTTGTAATCTTTACGCACCACTGTACGAGTTGGATGCTTGTTTTTTAGTGATGCACACATTCTAAATTGTATAATTGGTGGTGCTCTAGTGCTCTCACAATAGCCTTTTGTACTACCTTAGAATTAGCTTCTTCCAAATCTGTGTTCTTCTTTCTTTTGCTTTGGCCCATGTTTCTTGTTTGTTGACCGTGTTCAATTTCCAGGATGTCATCTGAAATGGTAGCTTGTATAGCTGTGGAGGCTTTGTCAATTTTGGACAAGATGCATTCAAGAGGGTAGGATATCCAACTCCTTTTCTTATCTTTAGCAACAAATAGCTTGTGTTGGTTTCTTCATGCCATTATGTTTAATGACTTCTGTTCTTTAGGTATGTGCATGGAGATGTAAAGCCAGAGAATTTTTTACTTGGCCAGCCATCAACAGTTCAAGAAAAGAAATTATTTCTTGTTGACCTGGGGTTGGGTATGAAATCTCATTTACTTTTGAAGATGGATTTTTGTTACTTCCTGGTTTCTTCTTTAATGCTCTCATTGAATGCAGCAACAAAGTGGCGAGAGACTGCCAATGGTCAACATGTTGATTATGATCAGCGGCCTGACATGTTTAGGTGAAATTCAAATGACCAGTTATGCTTGAAACACAATATTCTTTTTCACTATTTTGATATATTCCTATCATGCAGCATGCACATAATATTAATTTCAATGCGAAGTATTTCATAGTCATGTCGTTGCAGGGGAACAGTTAGATATGCTAGCGTGCATGCACACCTGGGAAGGACTGCTAGTAGAAGAGACGATCTGGAATCTCTTGCATATACACTCATATTTCTTCATCGTGGCAGGCTGCCTTGGCAAGGGTATCAGGTATTGCTTGGTTCGTCGGTTCTTCTATTGGCATGAGATTGTTTATTAGTCAGTTAAGCAAAAGATTTGGGTAATCTTATACTGATATATGCTGTTGTGTGTTAGGGTGACAATAAGTCCTTTCTAGTTTGCAAGAAGAAAATGGCCACATCTCCTGAAATGTTATGCTGCTTCTGCCCTGCACCTGTAAGGCAATTCCTGGAGATAGTTGTGAATATGAAGTTCGACGAAGAGCCGAACTATTCCAAACTAATTTCTTTGTTTGAGGGACTGATAGGTCCCAATCCTGCCATAAGGCCTATAAACACAGACGGCGCTCAAAAGGTGATCCATATTGTTAATGATGTATCTGTTAATTATATGTTGATGAAAGAGTTATTTACTATTTCTACTTTGCATTTAAATTTAGATCATATTTCAAGTTGGTCAAAAACGGGGCAGATTGAATCTTGATGAGGAAGACGATGGACAGCCTACAAAGAAAATCCGAATGGGGGTTCCTGCAACGCAGTGGATTTCAATTTACAATGCTAGGCTACCAATGAAACAGAGGTTGATGGTCTTCTATTTACTTTACCTTTTTCTTTAATGGAGCATGCCAATAATGTATTTATGCACTATTTCCTTATGAAGAAGAAAATCATACTTATCCGGTTAAGGTTTGTGGGATGACCTTGTTGGAGTATGGATCACTCTGCTTCTCTCTCTTTCTTTCTCCCTTGCTTCTCTTTTTTAACCTTTTCATTTCTTCTGATTGTAAATTCTGGATGTCACCAAAGGGACTTTGGCCTAGCGGTATTGTAACCCTTGGTCTTCTAGGAGGTCAGGGGTTCAAACCTCACCATAGGTGAGGAGGGTGTGTGAGTTTATTTGTTGCATTTGCTGTATATAAATATTATATACTTAAAAAAAAAAAATTGGATGTCCCTAGTTTTCATACATCAATCATCTTTTCCTCATGCAACTTCTGTTTGATTTATTCTCTGCACATGTGAAATGTCTAACCGGAAAGTATGGAAGTCGAGCAGTAGCAGTAAGTTTCTAGTGAATATGGTTACCTGCCCAAAGATAACGCCTTGATATAGTACAACCAAATTGCATTTCTTACCATTACAACATGGATTTTTTATGGTGGCTCTGAATTACTTTTTGGGGATGGTTATAGTGGTTTCTCTCTCTCTCTCTCCATGTTCGAGGAATTGTATTGAAAGCTATGCATGTACTATCCATAGTTGTCTTCTGTTAAGACGCTCTTGGCTTAAACTTGGTTTTATCATTCAGGTTGCATCTTGGTGTTGCTTGTGCAGTTGTGCATGATGCTTCACATTTGCATATTCAGCACTATGATGCTTTATGACGAACTACTTTTTGGCATCTTATATCTAAAAATGCATCTTGTTTATTCTGCATTAGGTACCATTATAACGTTGCGGATGCAAGATTGGGCCAACATGTTGAGAGAGGAAATGCCGATGGTCTACTTATAAGTTCTGTGGCATCTTGTTCCAACTTGTGGGCTCTAATAATGGATGCTGGGACTGGCTTCACAAGCCAAGTTTATGAGCTATCTCCTTTCTTCTTACACAAGGTAGATGCTGTACTATTCTTTGTACAGGCGTGCAGTCACAAGAATCTTAAAGCACTTTGAAAGAAGTTAATTATTTTCTATTTATGTTATAGGAATGGATTATGGAACAATGGGAGAAGAACTATTACATCAGTTGCATCGCTGGTGCTAACAATGGAAGCTCTCTTGTGGTGATGTCGAAAGGTATGCTGACATTTTCTTCTTTAGGAGTATGCATGTATTTAATATCAAGATTCATAGATGTACATGTTCCATTCTTTTTCTATTTTTCTGGTCCTTTTCTAGTGTCTTTCTTCTCTTATCTCGCGAATTTCGTTCAAAAGTAAGCATTTCAATTTGATTCAGTCATTACTATGCCAATTGATGGCTGGGAGAAGGAAATTGCCCAATAATCTTAAGATTTTGTTGCCCAAATATAGTTTTTTTGTTCACTTGCTGATGGTTTTGCTGTTTCTTTTTTTAAAACCGAGACAACACATTCTATGCACTTATTCATGGGCTCTTGGTTATAAGTATCTACTTATCTCTGTAGGGACCCAGTATTCTCAACAGTCTTACAAAGTAAGTGACTCCTTCCCTTTCAAGTGGATAAACAAAAAGTGGAGAGAAGGCTTCCACGTGACCTCCATGGCGACTGCGGGTTCTCGTTGGGGCGTGGTCATGTCTCGTAATGCTGGCTTCAGTGATCAGGTAGAGCTTCCCAGCGTTAAAATTTATCACTTCCTTTTCCCTTTTAGATAACCAACATTATATTGGTAATACCTGTATGCCTCCTTCAAATCATCCCTTCTGCATTGCTTTTAAATAAACCGTGTCCTCAATGGTATTTACGTTTGAGCAATAGTCTTCCCAAGCTTTAGAAAAAGAAGAGTTCCACATTTCTCTAGGGCTGGGGGAACTAACAGGGAGTACGATTAATTTTGCTTATTGAATTTCCAAAAAATATTAGAATTGCTGGACACAGGTCTTCCAGTACTGAGCCAATGAATGTTTTATTTTTAGACATCCCAGTAATAAAATCCCCAAGTGCCTTAACTTCAGCGTTTTACATAGAGCCGAGTTTTGAAGGATTGGTTGTTTAGTTTCTCTTTTTAGGGGGGGGGGGATGGTGATTTGTTGCTTGTCAGTGGTTGTAAAGTCTGGGCACGTCCAGGGAGAAAGTTGGATCAACCGAAAGAGTAGAGTTTGAGGACTGACGTCAGAATGATCAGTTCACTATTGTTTGCAACCTGCCATGTAGCAAAATGTTGTAATCTCTCTTATGAATAATGCCTTCTGTTTTGTAGGTGGTGGAGCTTGACTTTCTTTATCCAAGTGAAGGCATTCATAGACGTTGGGATAATGGTTATCGTATTACGTCAACAGCTGCTACATGGGATCAAACTGCCCTTGTCTTGAGCGTGCCTCGCCGCAAGCCTGGTGATGAAACACAGKAAACTTTACGCACATCACAGTTTCCAAGCACACATGTCAAGGTTAGTCTACTTGATGGAAACTATTGATACATTTTTATCGTCATTGCCCTCCCCAGTTTTTAAAATGAAAATT